ATTTGTCTATTGCCTATCACTGTGTACTCAATAAGTGGTAACTGAATGAATCATCCTCTGTAATCTGATTTAATATCTTGCCTTTTATAGATGCAGGCAATCCTTCCCTCTGAGAATGAATTTTTTTAAAATTAGTATGTAATGATAAGAGATTCGCCCATATGAGTTAATTTTCCTTCAGTGATCAACAGAGAGCTGGGGAAATTTGGGAAAACTGAAACTCAGTGATGTGCCCTAGAAGAAAAAAAATGTGTTAACAGAAGTGAGTAGCCAGTGCAGTCAAGAAAATAATTAAATAAATAGAATGGATGAGGGCATCTCCAGTTTTGTCCAGAAAGTAAGTTTTCTCACTAAACATAAATATTTGGCTTCTTGATAGTTTCATGCCTATTTTTGACTCCTGCTTTGAAATTTTTACTGACTACAATAATTCTTTATAATCTAGAACTGCACTGTTTAATATGGTAGTCACATATGGCGACTGAGCACTTGAAACATAGGTAATCCAAATTATGTGCTGGAAGTGTCAAATGTATACCAGATTTCAATGACTTGTATGAAAAAAAGACCATAAAATAACCTAATTGTTTAATATTAATTACAAGATGAAATTAAGTAGTTTTTATATATTGGGTTAAATAAAATAGTATGATTAGTTTTACCTTTTTTTTCTTTTTTATAAGGCTACTGTAAAATGTAAAACTACATATGTGGCTTGCATTATATTCATATGGGACAGTGCTGATATAGAATCTTGAAGCCCATTTATTCACTGTATTTTGGAACAGACTCCAGTTCTTTCTAATCAAATTCTGGCCCTACTTACTTTAACTCCCTAGGGTCTGCCCTTGTATGGAAGTGGGGTGGGGTGACCATTTAAATGAGAAGGAACCTCTGTTGCACTGCTTAATTTTCATTCTGCTTGGTTAACTTTTTAAAAACTTTGTACTTGAAAAACATGTTTTAATATACTATACCAGAAATATGTATTCCTTATCAAAAAATAAAATAGTAACAGCAAAAAGAATAAGGCAAAATCACCCATAAAATCCACCACCCAGAGATAATCACTACCAATATTTTGATGTATACTTCGTACCTTTCCTGAAATTTTCAACACAAAAATACATATAGAGCTGTGTGCACACATTTATTTATTTTTGGGATTATACTGTATGTATTATTTTCTAATCTATTTCCTTTTTTCTTTAATAAGATATAGAAACATCTTTCAATATCAATAAAAATATATTTCCAATTTCATTTTTCAAGACTTGACTCAAAAGTCACCTTAGAAATGAGGCCTGCTCTGGCTGGTGTGGCTCAGTGGATTGAGTGCTGGCCTTTGAACTGAAAGGTCACTGGTTCAATTCCCCGTCAGGGCACATGCCGGGGTTGCCGGCCAGGTCCCCAGTTGGGGGCATGTGAAAGGCAACCACACATTGATGTTTCTCTCCCTCTCTTTCTCTCTCCCTTCCCCTTTCTCTAAAAATAAGTAAAATCTGTTTTTAAAAAAGAGATAAGGGCTTCCCTGACCACTCTATTAAACATTGAAATCTATACATTCTTACGTCTTCCAATCCTGCCCTAATGAATTTTTCTTCATAGCATTTGTCACCTAACATGAAATATTATATTAGTGAATATTATTAAATTTACTTATTTTTTACTAGAAAGAAAATAACATGTAGGCTGAAATCTGTGCCTGTTCACTTTAACTCAGTATCTACAACTATGCTTAGCACACAGATGATGCTTGAGTGTTTGCTGTATGAATGATTGAATGAAGAACTATATAGCATTTCATTAAATTATGTTTTTTGATTGATTTTTAAAATACTGTTATTTATATTTTGCCTCTATCCACATTTAAGGCAACTTTTAAAGTTCTCAAAGGATGTGGTCTTAAGTAAAAACACAGAATATCTACAATCCATCAATTTGCTAAAAATGTAACTGATACTTAACTTTTATCACAAGTGTCATTTGGCCCTGGCTGGTGGGGCTCAGTGTACTGAAGGGTGGCCTATGAACCAACGGGTCGCCGGTTCAATTCCCAATCAGGGCACATGCCTGGGTTGCAGGCTAGGTCTCCAGTGGGGGTTGCATGAGAGGCACCCACATTGATGTTTCTCTCCTTTCTCCTTCCCTTCCCCTCTCTCTAGAAATAACTAAATAAAATCTTTTTTTAAGAAAATGGCAACTTAATAAATTCAGCTTAAAAAAAAAAAAGTGTCATTTGGAGCCCTGCCTGGTGTGGCTCAGTGGATTGAGTGCCAACTTATGAACCAAAGGGTTGCTAGTTCAATTCCCAGTCAGGGCACATGCCTGGGTTGCAGGCCAGGTTCCCAATAGAGGGTGCATGAGAGGCAACCTTCTCTCTGCCCCTCTCTCCCTCCTTTCCCCTCTCTCTAAAACTAATCTTTTTCTTTAAGTGTCATTGGGAGAAATAACATTTACAGAAAACTGTCTGACGGAAAAACAAGACATCTGTCCATTTAGATAGTCTAAAGTTTAGCCCTATATGAAGCTGTAGCAACATAGAGCATGTTTAAACTAAATTGTGATGAGCCTGATAGCAAACTAAGGACCTACTGAATCCCTATTTGGTGTTTCTGTAAGAAACAGTGGTATAAAACTCAACATACTTGCTCTCAGGTATTATACGTGGTGGTGTCCTCTATATCACTCAGTGCCTTCTCGTAAGAGCCACAAAACTTTTTGCCCATCTTGGGAACTGATGTGCTTTTACAAATCCTGAGGAATGTGAATCTCATTATGTTTTCTAATTGGCTTTAGCTGCCAAGAAGCTCAGAACTGAATTCATAGCCAAACTTTAGTATTTGGGAAAATCTGCTTATAGAAATCCTTTCTGTGCATTTTTCTGTTGCTTTCATTTTATTGTAATATTTCAATTTTCCCTACTTTAAAAATTTCTATTTTCCTGTGTTTTGCCTTTTGAGTATTCTAGTAAGATGTTGCAAATGCTTTTGGCAAATATCAATCAATCATTAAACCTATAAAACTGCAGTGGAGATAAATGCATTAGCTATCATGGCCTGATATTAACTATCAAGAGCTTCTAAATCCCCTTTCCCCTAGTGCCATGTTCACCAAGCCACTCTTGGATTTTAAGATGGCTTACACTGCAGATTTTTCTACCAAGAATGAAAACGCAACCCTGGATTCCTCTAAGCAGTATATTTCTCACTACAATTTAATGCATAAACCCAAATGTCATTTTATTGCACTGGACTATAGAAAGACTGGAAAATTCCTCAATTGTAATTTAAAATTAGGAGCATTATTTCTGTCACACATGATTTCGATGTGGTCCTACACTAGAAGTATAGAAGGATGGGCTGAATAATTCCTGTAATTTCCATTCAACTTAGCAGTTTGCATTAAAATACCTGAAACCAAATGTCTCAGGGGACCAGGAAAGGAAGCAGGGACTCCATTTTTGCCAGACTTATTTTAAGTCTGAAGAAAGCAGCACAGTGGTGTGTTGAGGAGATAAGCTCATTATCACACACTTCTGATTACAGGTTACACCAGAACTGGGGACTTGATTATCATCACACGAAGATTTTTAGAAGGTTTTCTTTTGGTTTTTCTTTGTGGCCATCCCAAAGTACCATATACACACACCCTCTTAAGGCTTGGGCTAGCACAGGTGGAGTTCTTGGCTCTGGGCATTTGGCCGAGGCAGGGGCACAGGGAAACAATTCTGATTTTGTTTTTTTATCTCAACACTTTCCAAAATCTCTGTTACTCTAATTGTTGCCTTTAACAAGGTCATGGAGAGATGACTGGATCAGGAAATGTTCTGACCCCAGCTTATACAGTGTAGAAGTCACAAACCCTGCTCAGTGCTTCTCATTAAACTTCTGGGCTTTATTTATTTATTTATTTATTTATTTATTTTTAATACGACCATTACATATTACACAAAAATAAAAGTCAAATGAACTTGGTATTTATAAATTATTAAATAAAAATACAGGAATATATATTTATATTTATAGAGCTTTTTCTTTTCTTCTAAACTAACCAAATCTGTTCTCCCGCCATTTTATGATTTTAAAAAAGTAAAATAGTGTATGCCCTAGAATAAGTGGGGAGTGGGCTTAATAATCGCAGGACCCAGTTGCCCTACTTCTGCTCCTTCCTTGGCCTAAGCAAGTCCCTATTTGTCCCTTTGGGTTCTAGAGAGAAGGAAACATTCTCTCCACCTATTAAATCTCTGAAAACTGGCAATTAGATTTATTTACCTTTTTTTTTTTAATTAATGGATTTAAAAATTGGGAGCCATACTCAGCCTTCCTGGCCAAGAGCTAATCCCAAGGAACTATATGGCTCTAGAAGAGAGTCTCTACTTTTCCCTGACAGAAGAGTCTCGGGGGTTTCCATTGCCCCCATCAGGCTAATAAGGGCAGGATAGTTCAAAACAGCCCACTGCGGTCCCATCCAAGCTATGCTTCTGGGAATCCAGACCAAGCCCCTTACACTTTCAGAAAACAGCCTCTTCTTTCACCCAGGTGTGAAGGCCTCAGAGTAGGGCATTTCAGTAACTATGGTCCCTGCTGCCCCTGTTTGCCAAAGGCCCCCCAGAAGAGCTAAGAGGGATAGGCGTCCTATGGTAGAGTAGGGTGATGAGTCTGCCCCAGACCTGGGAGAGCACAGGCTCCAATTTGGAGCTGATGGTCTAGTCAGTGGTTTTCCAACTTTTTTTCAGCAGCAAACCCCTTAATGCAAATAAAATCTTACCCTGAACCCCGATATATAAGACAGCTACAAGGAGAGCTGTTCTGTTTGAGGGCAAGTAGCCCAGCCTGCTCAGCACACCCCCTTCACCTTCATATCCCCCTAGGACTCCTGAAGCAACCCCTAGGAAACTTTGGGGATCTGCCAAGCAGTTTGAAAACCACTGGCCTAGTTTGTCCTGAGCGAGTCAGAGACCCCCCCACCCCACCCCAACGGCCTGCCACAGAGCAGCTCTGAGTTTCTAGTATCAGCATACTCATGACAGACCAAGTGGCACATGCAGCCTACCACCTCCCCCGTAAATACCATTAAAAAGTGCAGCCCTCTCTCAAGCACAAAAGTCTGGGCTAAACACCTGAGGCCAATTTAGGTCCCACATTCTAGTGAGTACAACTATGTTGCCACCTTCTGGGACCAAGTGAAAAATCTCCAAGAAGAGTCAACCATGGTCTAACTAAGCTGATCAGTGCTCAGGATCAAGGGCAGGGTTCTAGAGCACTGTCTGAAGAAGTCAGCATTGGAGAGCAGCAATTTTAGCACCTCAGAAAGTGCAGCAGTGAGGTCTGGCTCAGGGCATGCATTTGGAGTGAAATAATTTCTTTCTCAAAAGAAAAAGCTATAATCTGCATCTGTTCTAGGAGACTGTGAGCTCTAAGGTTAACATTCGCAGACTCTGAGGTACAGACAAGTAACACCCATGCAAACAGCGTGGCTTCAAAGAAAATATAAATGCTTCCAGATCATGGTAGGTACTCTAGAACCCCTACACCTGGCCCTTGATAAAGCAGCACCAAAGCCCACCACACAGAACAGGCCAGTCATGGAGTACATGTCACCCTCACACCTGTGGGGTTCAGAGCTGGAATGTTCCTCTCAAGGCATCAACAGTCTCACTGAGACATAGTGCAGGACCCAGACTGTATTCTAGATCAGCATTTACGTCCACACTCAAAAGGAAAATTAATTAGAGCTCCAATTTAGAGTTTGGGTACAGAAGGTCCCAGAGATAGGGAACACTTTAGGCACCAGTGTGCTCCAGTGGGAGAAGAAGGCAGCAGGCAAGTCCAGCTACCAAAGCCTCTACCCACTGCAGGCTCCACAGCCCTGCCTTTCTGTCAGAGCCCGGGAGGCAGCAGCAAGTGCTTGATGCACAAGGAAGGGGGACCATGAAAGAACAAGGCCAGCTACAGAATTGCTCTTCTCTCCAAAACCCTGTTAATGACTTTCTACAGAGAAGTGCCCAAATCCCTCATCTGGATACAGTGTTTCTCCCTCAGCCTTGAGGCACCGGGACAAGGGGAGGAGGGAGAAGAAGGTTGGAAGGGAGGCAGAGAACTGCCCCTTGTTCTTGCCACTGCAAGAGGGAATGTTTTCTGTTTAAAGAATCGCATTGCCACCAGATTAGACAAGCAGCCCAGCATGCACATGAGCATGAGCACACGTGCACATGCACACACATGTCCAAGCAGCCCACTGTCGCAGCCACCTCTCCCTATCACCTGAGAATCCAAGCTTCCATTCAAAAGCATGTGCCTTCTGTGTTTTCCCCAAATCCCACTCATCCAATGGAGACGCCAACCCCTTCTGCAAGTCCACCTTCTTCAGGGCTGCAAACAGAGCTCCAGCTAGTTTCCTGTGCCTACACCTAGAGGCATGATCCCTCCCACCTCCCCCTAACCCGGGAATGACTCCATCTCCTGGCCCCCTGACTTTCCGAATACATTCCCCAAGGTCTCCAGTTCACTTTCAACTTCCTGCCTGGCATGCTCAGCTCCCTCACACATTATTCCTGACCTTTCCCATCCCTGTTCCATACCCATCCATTCACCCCACTTCGTTCAAGGGCATTTCTCTGTCCTGTTCCTGCTTGCCTGTCCTCCAGCCACACCTAGCCCCACTGGGCCTTGGACTTTCTCACTTGCTAGCAAAAAAGGCCCCTACAGTTACCAGGGCCCCCAGTGCCACGGCCCCTGTCAGCACTGTCCTCACTGAGGCCCAGTTCCCCTCCCGCAGGCGTCGAGCCTCCTCCAGGGCCCCGTCCCCGTATAGAGCTGTGAACTCCGCCTGTGGAAGAGAAGGGAAGTAGGAGAGAAAGAAGGAGAAAGGGATATCAGGAGAGAAAAGAGTAGAGAAGAGAGGAAAGGAAGTGTTCCAGTACCATTCATTGCAAGCACTGCCCACACCCAGCCCGTCTCCGGCCACTACTGGCTACAATTCCCTCTCATCCCCCATGAGCGCCTGGCTCATCTGCCTTCCCCGCCTCAAGTGAATCCCATCCTTTCCTTGGTCAAAAACTCTGCTCAGAACTGACATCCTTTGCTACAACTTGCCTGACCACCACCCATCCCTGATTCCTGCCCCCGTGCCACATACACAAGTGTAAAATGTTCCTGATGACTGGATGCCATTTCCCTGCTGGCACTCCCACGGGTACTGTGGATTCTGACCTCTGCTTTAGACCATAAGCCCATCCAGTGATGACTGCCTGGCAGCCCTGGAGTGCAGAGTCCAGCATGATGCCCATAGTGAGGGCATCTGACTCCACCGAAACAGGGACTCTCAGCCTCCATGCCTCATTCATTCTCAGCCAAAGCCCCCCCTTCCCCTGGAGACCAGCTTTGCAGAGGGATGTGCAGAGCAGCAATTGAGAAGCTTCTTACCCAGCCACCACTGCTGTGGATCCAGTCAGCCAGCCGCGTCTCCAGGTAGGCCACCATCCACTCCTGCACTTGTCCCACAAGTGGCTCCATCTCCTTGTTGACACTCTCAGCACACAGAGCAGCTCCAAAGACAAAGAAGGCCACAAGGCGGCCCCAGTTGGGGCCCCCTTGGAAGAGTTCATCAGAGACCTGGGTGAAGCGTTGCTGGGCTGAGCCTGGGGTCACATGCAGCTGAGCCGCCAGATCAGAGAAGGTGCGACGGAAGCGGGTCTCAAACTCATCTCCAGCAGCCCGCATGGCTTGGTGCAGCGGGTCAGCAGCTGGGCCCTCCCCGGGACCGGCTCCACAAACATAACCCTTCTGCCTCAGCTTATAGCCTACAAAGTCTGCCACTAGAGCCCGTGTGTCTGGGGCCGAGGCTGGGGTCGCCATCCGGGCGGCTGTAACAGTCAAGGATGAAAGACTGGCATGAATATATATGGTCAGAGACCCCAAATGGGGCATTTCAAGTTTGGCCAACCCAATGAGACAGGGAGGTGGGAGGGAATACTCAGAGACCACTGGGCAGAGAGAGGCAAGGACAAGGAAATTAAGTTATGGTGAGGGTATGAGGGGTTGGCTATTAAATTCATAATATGCTGAATTAAATGAAAACAAGTAAATTTAAAACTATAGCTTTTTTTCCCCATAATAAGACAATAGTTCTCTGACACCCCCATAAACCCCCTCTACACAGTACACACCTTCTGGCTAGAGAAGAGGCTTAGGACCTCCCCAGAGGTGTGATGTGAAGATGCTAGCAGAGGTATAAGATGGGGGAGGAGACAGAGGCTGAAGGGAAAAGTGGGGGAAGCCAAAGGTTGCCAGGGACAGAGAAGAAAGGGCACACTCACCCAGCCTGGATGGCAGCTCTTAGGACCCAGCGCTGGTGGCAAGGAGCCCCCAGCTGGAGCCTTTCATCCTCCTGGCCAGCTTGGAGCCCTGGGAAGGGGAGCAGGATATCAGAGCTAGGCAGACAGGGAAGGCCAGGGATCAGGGTCCGGACTGAGAAAGGCTGGGGTTGCAGCTCCCAGGACCGGGCCCCTGCCCCCAACGCTCTACCAGCTGTGTGGCCGAATCCATGTTTAATGACTGTCCTCCCGGGAAACCCAGGGCCAAGGGCTTCCTGCCGACACCATCTCTACTCTCGGCTCCCCCCAGTGCAGCCCAAAGGCCCAGCTCCTCCCTCACCCCCACCCTCAGCCAGTCTCCAATCCCTCCCGCCTGCCAGGTTAGGGATCTCACGGGTCAGGCGCGCTGCCGGGATCCAGGCCGTTTCCTGGTGCAGGAGCTGGGAGGGAGGGAGAGAGAGAGGAAGGGAGGGAAGGAAGGAGGGAGGAGAAGGGGGGGCAGGAGGGAGGGCCCGGCGCCTGGTGATGATGGGGCCCAGAGATGCGTCCAGAGAGAGGGGCGGGGCTGGGACGCAGGCTTGGGAAGGGCCACAACTCGGGAAGAGAGAGGGCTGCTGGAGGCCAAGAGCAGGAGGGCGGAGAGGGCACTGAGGGCTAGGCTGGGTCCGACCCCGGAGGCTGCCCAGAGAAGCCGCCTGGGCCTCAGCAAACCTCGGAGCAAATTCAGCATTTGCAGAAGGTCTTTGATGTTCCACACACTTGTTGAATTTTTCTGGCCTTGGAGTGGGTGCCCGGAAAAGAGAAGCAGTTCCCATACCAGTGGGAACTACCTGCCAGGTGCCTCGCCCTGTGGGACTGGCAGACAGAACATGGACACCACACATTTCACTTCCTCTTTTTTTCCAGGACCTTTCACCCAGTGATCTGGTAGGTTGGAGCTTTAGCTAGGCATCAGGGAGCCAGAACTTGGATCGCAAGCAATTTCTGCAGGTAACTTTTCATCTTCTTTCTTCTTTTTGTAATCAGACTGGTTTTCTTTTTAATTCTTTTTCCCCAACACATGAAGACATTTTCATTATGAAAAAGTCAAACAGCATAGCAGTATATAGAAAAAAATACAAGCCCTCAATTTCCCTCTCTGTTCCGCTCCCACAATTCCTCCTTCCTTCCTGGAAGGTGCCAATCAAGGCTAATGTTTATCCTTTCGGATTACATATATGTGCATATTTTTATGTATGTCTGTTATTTATACATGGCAGTACATTTATACAGGGCAGTTTATAGGACGTGAAGCTGTCTGACCACAGCTCCCTGGCATCCTGACGAGCCTACCTGCTCCTGCAGCTGGCACTTCCTTCAGCTCCATTTGGAGAGATCTCCGACCGAAGGCCAGAAAAAGGTAACCCAATTCTCCTTTCCTGCTGGTTCCATTTCCTCCTACCTTTAGTCTAAGTCTTGGTATTCCCATCTGCCCCTATGGCCACTGGGCAAGCAAAGTCTTTTCTGTAATAATAGTAACAACCAACACATTTGAAGCCTCATTAGGTGCTAGGTGCTTTCTTTTATTTGCATGATATTTTATTCTCACACCAATCCTTATTTTGTTTTATCCTCATTCAATGGATGAGGAAAGTAAGGCTTGGAAAGGTTAAGTAATTTGCCCAAAGCCACATGAGAAGCTGGGACTCAATCTAATTCTGACTTGAAATCTTAACACTGTATTGCTTCAAGGTCCCCCTTTGCTTCAGGTCATTGATGCTGTTATCATGCCATTTACAAGTCCAAACTGAACCCATGCTATTTATAAGGCCAAACTCAGTTCTCCCTGTATTTCAAATGCAGAGCTTATTCCACTCCTTTTATAACTGTATCCTTTCAATCACCCTCATTTCTTCTTTGCTTGAGCTGATCATTGTGGCTGCCACCAGCAAGGTTGCTTCCTTCTTTTGGGAATAACCTAGTCTAGCCCTTCATTTACGATCCTGACTTCTTCTAAGACATTTGCTTGATATGAAAACACTTTTAAGTCTCAGGATCCAAATATATTTCTGTCCGCTGCCCATTTATTTATAAGCTCTTTGAGAGCAGGAACTGAATTTTACTTTTATGTCCTCAAGAACTAATAGACCCTACCCTGGCTGGTGTGGCTCAGTGGATTGAGCGCTGGCCTGAGAACCCAAGGGTCACTGGTTCGATTCCCAGTCAGGGCACATGCCTTGGTTGCAGGCCAGGTCCCCCGTAGGGGGCGCTTGAGAGGCAACCACACATTGATGTTTCTCTCCCTTTCTTTCTCCCTCACTTCCCCTCTCTAAAAATAAATAAATATTAACAAATAGACCCTCAGTAAATGTTGATTGAATCAATCACTCAATGCCTCTGACCAGTTATTGAGCAGGCCCAGGCCCAGTCAGATGTTTGAAAATAACTGCAGTGGCTGGTTAAGAAACAAAGGCTTATCTGGAATAAAGGTTCAGTGTCAGTCTGAGCAGCCAGGAGAATAGAGCTGCTGGACCAACACAAATTAAACGGAGTCCAAAGCTCTGTACCCCAAGAATGCTCTCAAACTAACACCACACAGCCAAGGAATGGAAGTTCAAAGTGTCGACAAGGCAACAGAGCTATTACCAGAAAACCTCAGGCCATATAGGCTAACCTTTAATGTTATCTATTCCATTAATGATATATTTTACCAGAGTAAGGAAGACAGTTTTAAACTGGTTTACTGTAAGACAAATTAGTGAAACATTATTTTACACCAAAATATGAAAAAATATGTCCATGGACTTATATACATATATATTAAATAAGAAAATAAAAACTCAGTGTCACTCTAAAAATTTAGTCCAGCTAAATAGCATTGCTGTAGTCAATACAATAGCATTGCTGGAGTCAAAATGCAAACAGGAAAGAATTATACAATATTAAGATAGTATATGTCTCACTATTTATTTCCAGTTTAGTCACTTGTGATGTTACAGTTAAACTCTCCTGCTGTTTTAGAGATTCTATTTCTATTCTAAGAGTCCCCATTTCAATACTCTAAAGATGTTAACTGTATTACCATTAAATGTTTTAAACTTATATAATCAAGTAGATAAAGAGAGTGCAAGCTAGAGACAGACTGCTGAGGTTCTAATCCAAGCTCCCGTTATTACCTTTGTGATCCTTGGCAAGAGTCCTAGCCCTTCTCTCCATCTATTTTTCTCATTTGTAAAATAGTCATCCATAATAATACTACCTAATCCTATGATGGCTGTACTGTTAGTGTTTTCAAACTCTTACAACCATCCCTAGCACATTGTAAGTGCTATATAAGATCAGTAGGTAAGTTAGGAAAAAACTAAACAAAACTTCACACGCATTTTTCACTAACAGAAAAAAATGAAGAAAAATGCCAGTTCTGTGCCTTTTGGAAACTTCCACTGGAACTAGAGCCCTACAGTCCCAGCTCCAAGAGAGGGGTGTGCTTATTTATTCAGTAATTTGAGAGCCTAGTGTGTGATGAAACTATGAATCTGACACAGCCTGTCATCAAAGGGCTTACAGTCCTGTTAGAGAGCAGAACTGTATTTCACTTATTTTTACAGACGAGAAAACTGGTACAGAGAAGTGCCTTGCTCAAGGTCATGCAGCTAGAGGTCAGAGGTGAGACCAGAAGCTATATCTTTCCACAACTCTCAGTTCAGAACTCTTTCCAATGGCCACCCACTCTCGTGAGCACATCTCAGCTTCTCTTTGGGACGCTACTTAGTTTTCATGACCTTCCCTTTTTGCACGCACCGTCACTCTGCTCCCAAAACTGGAGCCTAGGGTTTAGGAAAGAAAAAGGTAAGCCCTTAAGAAAAAGTCACACACTGGGCGTTTTGGACCTTCTGCTGCAAGAAAAGGAAACGTTACTCTTTACATCCTGTGTTAACTCTTCCAGCAAGGCTGAGGCCGTTTTTAAAAAAATGGCAGAGTGGTCTCACTCAGGACCGAAAGGGTGGAGTCCCTGCCCCCTGCTTCAGCAGCAGCAGCAGCAGCAGCAGCAGCAGCAGTAGCAGCGAAGAGAGATAGGGAGCCACCTGTCAGAGGGCTGTGGGCGGGGGCCAGGGCCACTAAGGCCTAGAGACCCGAGGGTGCGTGCGGCTGAGCGCACGCTCAGAGCAGACAGCTCGCTAGGGAGGAGATGACCGTCTAAGACCCGGGGAGATGACGGTCAGAGGGAGGGAAAGGTAGTCACGGAACCGAGGCAGAACTACAGGAGGTGGAGGATCCTGGAGGTGACTGCAAGGAGAGGACGCAACCGCTAGGATCGGCAAAAGCGGAGCCGGCGGCTTCTGTGTGGGAGACGCCGGGCGGGCTGGCCATTGGGAGCAAAGGCAAAGCGGCGGCGCTGCAGACGGGCCCGGTGGGGCGGGGGGTGCCATGTCTCGCGAGCGGCCCCCCCGCACCGACATTCCCCGCAACCTGAGCTTCATTGCCGCACTGACGGAGCGCGCCTACTACCGCAGCCAGCGGCCAAGCCTTGAGGAGGAGCCGGAGGAGGAGCCAGGAGAGGGTGGGGCGCGCCTCGGGGCCCGATCCCGCTTTCTTGCTACGAATCGGGGTCGCCGGGCTCGCTCTGCACCCGCCGGAGGCGGTGGAGCCCGGGCGCCTCGGAGCCGCAGCCCCGACACCCGCAAAAGAGTGCGTTTCGCCGACGCGCTGGGGCTGGAGCTGGCCGCCGTGCGCCGCTTCCGCCCCGGAGAGCTACCTCGGGTGCCCCGCCACGTGCAGATCCAGCTGCAGAGGGACGCCCTCCGCCACTTCGCGCCTTGCCAGCCCCGCGCCCGCGGCCTCCAGGTAGGAGGCAGAGGCACGCCCCTCCCCAACCCTGCCGCGGCGGGCGTCGGGGAGTGAATTTATTAAGGAATACCCATCTTCACCCTCAACCCTGGGCTTGCTCTTGCACTTTCCTTTTGGCGAAGGGCTCTAGGCTACTTTCGCAGCTGGGCAGCACTCTGACGGCCCGGACCCCGGGATCGGGCTCGGATTGGTCCAGTTCGTTGCCTTGACCCCGCCCCCTGCCTGGGCTTTCTAGTCTACGGAGCTCGGTCCTCCCTCTCCCTCTTTCGTCCCCAGGAGGCGCGCGCCGCCCTGGATCCTGCCAGCGAACCCGGCTTTGCTGCCCGTTTGCAGGCACAGCGCATCTGCCTGGAACGCGCCGAGGCAAGCCCCCTGGGAGTGGCCGGGAGCGCGCGCGTGCTGGACCTGGCCTACGAGAAGCGCGTGAGCGTGCGCTGGAGCGCCGACGGGTGGCGGAGCCAACGCGAGGCGCCCGCCGCCTACGCCGGCCCGGCCCCGCCCCCGCCGCGCGCTGACCGCTTCGCCTTCCGTCTGCCCGCACCGCCCATTGGCGGCGCCCTGCTTTTCGCCTTGCGCTACCGCGTGACTGGCCAGGAGTTCTGGGACAACAACGGAGGCCGTGACTACGCTCTACGTGGGCCCGAGCACCCGGGCAGTGGAGGAACTCCGGAGCTGCAGGGCTGGATCCACTTTATCTGAGGCGCTTGCGGCGGACTGGGGAATTACCAAAGTCATCGGGGGCTGCGGGAGCCCGAAGATTTGGAGGGGAGGAACGGGGAAAACCGAGTGGGAGTGGATGGAATCAGTTACAGTCTGGGAGATAGGGTGGAAAACACTAGTTGGATGTGAGTAAAAGGAACCCAAGGCATAAGGAAAGGAGACCGGAAAGGGCCTTGGAAGGATTAGAAACAAGCAAAAGAATAGTAATGATGGTGACATTCTCTTCACGTGAGTTGGCTCTGGGAGAAAGTTCGTCGGGTATAGGCAGTCGAAGGGTTAAAGTACATCTTTGCGATTAAGGAGGTGTTTTGTGTGAACAAGCAACCCATCCCAGTTGAAGTCATTTAGATTGCTTGCTCATTCCCTTTTCTTACCCAGCTTTGCGACCTCAGGTATCCCAGCCCTGTCCATCCCAGTTTTAACTCAGCCGTAATTGCCTTGCTGAAGTCCCAGGAACTTGGCCATTGCTCCCTAGTCTCTGGCATTGTGACAGAATTTCCGTGTCACCCCTTATTGTCCCTGGCTTCAGTCTCTAAGAACTGGCTGGGGAGTCATGACAGGTAGCAGTTAGAGCTCCTTCAGCCTTCTGGCCGCTCTTGGGGGTTAAAATGAAGGCCAAAACCAATTCCAGGCTTGTCCTGGTAGCCAAATAATGCAACGCTTAAAGGGTGTGTACACTCAGGGGCTTTCAGGGAAATACCAGGGTTACCTTTTTGGGATGCCTTCTAATGACCTCTAAGCACTTTTTGGGCTGTGTTTGTCAAGGGACAGTGAGTCACAAGAATCACTATTCTGAATCTACTTCAGGAGACAAGAAAGACCCTGACTAGCTGTATAACTTTGGGCAAGTTCCTTCACCTCTCTGGGGCCTACTTTCCTCCTTGGGAAATTGGATTTGGATCAGGTGATCTCTTAGGGCCCTACTTGCTTTGACATTACCATGTGTGAGTGGTGCAGTGTAGATTAGAAGCCACATTGTCCAACCACACTGCAGATGGAGTGCTACAGTTCAGAACACAGCAGGCCTAGCATCTGGTTGGAGCTGAGGATAGGTCCTCCACAGCCCGCAACCTCGGTATTCAGGCCTCTTTCAAACCACAGCGCATCCTCTGCCCTTGCTTCTTGCTCTGGTTCCAGCCTGGGTTGTCTGAGACAGCTTTGAAGAGGTGCATCTCTCCTGGGGGGCGGGGGGTGGTGCTTGGGAGTCCCAAAGATGAAAGGAAACAATGCTGTAGGCTCTCTTGAGAATAAAGGATTATGGATATAAGAAAAGGAAAACATTTTATATCAAGAATCAAAGCAGCTTGGAAATTAGGCCTGGCTGAGCAACTCAGTTGGTTGGGTGTCGTCCTGTACATTCAGTTCCTGGTCAGAACACATACCTACAATGCAGGTTCGATTCCTGGTCAGGGCGAGTTGGAGAGGTAACCAATTGATGTTTCTCATATCAATATTTCTCTCCCCCTTTCTCTAAAATCAATAAATATATCCCTGGGTGTGGATTCGGGGGGGGGGGGGGGGGGTGAAGCTTGAAAATTGAATGACACCAGAAGATGGCAATCTGCTCCATAGCCTGAGCAAGTGAAATGGGGAAGCTGGACCCTTACCCATTGATGCCCATGTGTTTCTCCTCCAGGTTAACCTCTGTTGGTTGTTGTTTTTTTTTTTTTTTCCTCTTACCCTGTTCCATAGCTCTTTGCTTTTCTTGTTGTCCCTCATCACTTTCATTTTTGTTTTAGAATATATGGTATTTACCTTCATTTTCTCTTCTGTCCTTTTTCCTCCCTTATCCTTGTTCATCTGTGCTATTCCTTCCCCTCCAGAAGGGGTGGAGAACCTACTTTTTTTCTGAGACCGTGGTTGATCCACTTTCCTCCCTCAGGCTCCTTGACAGTCTTCTTGAAGGGAGAAGAGGGAAAAAAGCAGTTCCTGATGCAGATGAACAAGGAGCTCCCAGGTAACCAGTTCCTTGTCCTCTTTTCTGTTACTGATTCCTCAAAAATTTTCAGAACTCCCTCTTCCTTGTCAGTAAGAGAGAGTGCATGCACGCATACCCATACATGCCATTTGGAATACAGTATGGGGCTTTTTACCATGCCCCTCCTGTCCAAAGCTTTAATCCTTTGAAGAAAGGTGGCTGAAAGAAAGGAACTCTGATTCATTCCTCAAACAAATGCCCCTTTGAACACCATCCTTTTCTGGTGAAGAAAACAATTTCGTGCATCTTATGGGTCACCTTCAGGCCAAAGTTCCAGCAGAATGAAGAGAGAAACTATACTGGAAGCCACCAAGCAATGCACTTAATAGTTATCAATGAAGAGCCCAAGGGAGGATAATGGAGAGAGAGATTGGGTTGGGGGTAATCTCTTGCTTAATGTGTTTGTGTTACTGTTATGTTGTATTAACAGTTGTAATAGTTCACATTTGTTTACTTATCCACTAAAATCTGGTATCTTGAATGCATTATAATCTTCAACCATATGAGTTGAGTAATAATATCCCTATTGTAGAGATGAGGAAACAGCTCAGAAAAACTCAGTAATTCGTTCAAGGTCACATAGCTAGTAAATGGCAGAGGTCGGATTGTGAACCCAGGAAGTCTCTAGGCAGGGGTGTCCAGCCCATGGCTCGTGGGCCACATGCAGCCCAGGATGGCAATGAATATGGCCCAACACAAAATCATAAATTTACTTAAACTCCCCTTTTTTTTTCATCAGTTTTCATTAGTGTTTGTGTGTTTAATGTGCGGTTCAATACAACTCTTCTTCCAGTATGGCCCCGAGACGCCGAAAGATTGAATACCCCTGCTAGAGCTGTTGTGTGTAACCATGATGTTATATTTTTTTCCTTTAAAAACAAAATTGTCCCTGGCTGGTGTGGCTCACTTGGTTGGAGCATCATCCCCATGCACTGAAAGGTTGCGGGTTCGATTCCCAATCAGGGCATATACCTGGCTTGCAGTTTCAGTCCCCTGTCAGTGTGAGTACAGGAGGCAATCAATGGATATTTCTCTCACATGAATGTCTCCTCCCCCCGCCCCCATCTCTCTCTCTCTCTCCCCCTCTCTCCTCCCATACACACACACTCACACACACATGCGTTTTTCTCTGTAAAACCAATGAATATATCCATCCTCAGCTGAGGATTAATAAAATAAAAAATTTGCCATATATCATCTCTAATTAGGGGGGGCGACCCACACTTTCTAATTGTACTCTGCCTTCCCATCTTCCCAGTCTCCTGAACTAGCTTGGAGAAAGGAAAGCACTGAAGGTCCCAAGCTTTATCTCCGTCTAGCAGCTGCTGCTGTCTCCTGTGCCCGTGTCCCAGTTCTGCAGGATCAGCAAGGGACCAACCCGCCTGCTTGCTAGAGAACTTACAACTCATTTGAACCCATACAGTGGGGTTTTCCCCTGGATGAAGCCAACCCTCCATACCTGTTGGTGTGCCACACCCCTATATACTCCCCCAATAGCCTTGAACAGGCCAGTTGCCTATATATACAAGGATCCCCGACTAAGACAATTGCTGGATGCCCTGTGCTTGGGCCCTGTCTGAGAGCCCTGGTATTAGTGGATAAATGCAAACCGATTGGGGGCAGAGAACCAAGGATAATCCATTGTTCTCTGTAAGAAGTACTGTGGCTCACTCATGCCCCCCATTCTCAGCTTTACATATCCAACAAATGAGTCTCCTGGTTTTTTCTGTATAGAGCTGCCCAAAGACTTGGGCTAAGCTGATAGTCTAGTCTGACTTGGGAGACACTAGGGGTGTTAGGCATTGTGGAGGGGACTTTCCTCTAAAGACCAATGACTATGAACAAAAACGACTAATAACATAACAGCCATGGACCCGGAAGTGCCATAGGGGAACTATCAGCTGTAGCCAGGCTTGGAAACTTGAAGCAACACAAGAGGTACACTGTTGCCCTTTTCTCTTATCTACACATCAGATGTCTGATAGCTTTCTTTGTTCTTTGTTTCTTTTTATGAATGTAACCGATCATTTCTCTTCATAATAAACCCTAATTCCTCAGCTTTCCAATCTTCCACACTCCTTGCTTCTAACTCCTTTGTTTCGCTGGGGGCAATCCACAGGTCATAGAATCAGAACCTTTTTTTGACTTATCTTTAGAGATCATCGGATCCAGGCTCCTGTACAGATAGGGACACAGATCCAGAGAAGAGAAGGGTCAGATAATTTTATTTTTTAGTGCAGCTCAAGGCAGAGTTTAAACCCACGCTTCTTAACCACATCTCATTTCTAGGCTATGATACAAGCCTCTGCACAGTCAGACCCACAGTTTTTCATGGCAAGGGAGAACATCAAAAATGTTTCATTTTCTGATACTAGTTTCCATCCACTCCCCATCCAGGCATGAAGAGAAACAAAAGGGACTGGTAGTTTTTTCTATGTTCCTAGCCTTGGCACTTCCTTTAGTGATACTGGTAAAGGAAAGGAAAGTTGCTAAAATGATTGAACAATCCACCCATTGAATAACCTGGAAAAAAAAAAAGGAAATTTTGCTATGTGAATCCCCCCACAAACCACTGTTCTTATCAGGCCACCCCAGAGTCTTCCCCTTCATAGTGCAGCCCCCCTATTCACTGGGCCCCAAACCCACTGCTATTGTGCTTCACTTCAGCTTCCTCATGCATTGGCCTTCCCTTCTGGATAAAAAATCTCATGTTTGAAATAAAGTTGAAATAGAAAAAGAATATATCATCAGATACTGAGAAGTAGTATTTGTTTTTGGCTGAGGATGGCAAGAGACCCAGAGGCAAGATTCTCCTCCCATCCCCTATTTCCTGATCATCTCACTTTTTTAGAAGCCCTGTTCCCTGCCTCCTGGAGTCCTCTGGCTATGCAGAAGTTGGGCAGGAAGGAGTTGCGCCACCCAGGTGTGCGATCCCACCATGATTTGGGGTAGTGGTAAGGAAAATTATCAGGGCCCAGTGCTTTTAGTTTCCTGGCACCTAGCAGCAGCAGTTAAAGAGAACGGCTTGAGTGTAAGCCCCACATTTCCCCCTGGATGGGAGCTCTTCTTTCTTATGGGGGTCATCTGAGTTACAGTCTACTCCTTAAGCACTGGACAGAAGCGCAAAGCTATTTTCCACATCAAGGGCAACCCCAAGGCCAAAGATGAGAAAAGTGAGAGGGAGGTAAAGCAAGGATCTCTGTCTAATCCAGAATGGAGCAACAGAAAAAGATAGTAAAGGGAAGCATCCTTGAAAAAGGTCAAGTTCTAACAGTATTGACTCCCACATCACCGGAATGAAGAAAATCCAATTATCCACAAAGTAATGAGACATTTATGGTAAGGAAGCCCTCGCCTGAGAATAATCAGATGCCTCCTCATTACATCATAATAGCCAGGTTGTGATGTCACTGCAAGAGTATCTACTGTTTGATACTTGTAAGTGAAGTTACAGATGCTGAAGAGGAGTCAGCATGAAGAGCAGACATCCAAGGAGAGGTAAGTAGGTGCTTTCCAGGGGTTCACACCATGGCTTATTGCCTAGGGTCCCTCTGTGGCCCTAATGTCTTTCCAGACTTCTTACATCTTAGTTTGGCAGTAAGTCAGTCTGAACCCTTTCTTCCACAAACTCCTTCATTGCAGCTTTTGCTATCCCAAACCCTCGGTACTTGCGGTTCTGATGGGCCAGCCCTTAGCCCTGATATTTCTTGGGAGACAGGGCCCAAACATAGCAGGGTTCCCCTAAGTAGGGCAGAAACTCACCATGTCCATTTGGTTAATCCCAGGATAGATCCAACTTTCAGGGTACCTTGAGCATACAACTTTTGGACCTTTTAATTTTTTATTATTTTTTTAATCCTCGCCTGAGGATATGTTTATTGATTTTAGAGAGGAAGGGGGAGAGAGAGAAAAACATTGATGTGAGAGAGAAACTGATCAGTTGCCTCCCATACATTCCCCATCAGGTGATCAAACCCTCAATCTAGGTATGTTCCCTATTTGGGGATTGAACCCAAAACCTTTTTGTGTATGGGATGACTCTCCAACCAACTGAGCCACCTGGCCAGGGCCTTGTGGGCTTTTTAAAAGGGAAATAAATATGTTAGGCACAAAATAATATATTCTAGAATGAGAAAAGATGAATAAGTTACAATTTCTTAAAAGCTAAGAGATACCACAGTATCACAAAGTTTAAAGATAAATTTTAAAATACATCTGCCTGGCAAACTTTTTTCCTACAATTCTGTTTTTGGCTGCATGCTCTTCAATAGCATTTTCATACAATGATTTAATGTTTTCTATAAAGAGTATAGAAAGGTAATTCAGTCTTCTACATGATCACTTTTTAAAATTGATAATATAGGAACATTTCAGCACACTTCATAAGTGATAATGGCATAATTTTTGGGATTTTTGTCAAACTTGGAAAAAACATTTCTTTGGTATATGTGGTGTAAGAATTTGGAGCATTTCAAATTTGTAATGACTAATCTCATATACAGTAAGTCCACTTAATGTGTTGATAGGTGCTGTGACTTTAAGGGAAACAAGGTATAATGAAACCAAGTTTACCATAGGCTAACTGATGAATGAATAAACAAGAGTTAACTTCCAACGGCACCTCATCAACATTATAACAAAATGATGTTGAACAGCATGTTACTCAAGAACCTGATATGCTCTGAATTGTTGACATTAGGGAGTATTCCAGGAAGATACTGTATATATGTATATTAGTTTTCTAGGGCTGCCATAACAAAATGACTGGTGGCTTAAACAACAGAAATTCCCTCCCAGTTCTAAAGGCGAGAAGTCAGATCAAGGTGTCAGCAGGGTTGATTTCATTATGAGATTCCTTTCTCCTTGGCTTACAGGCAGCCATTTTCTTACTGTCGCCACATGGTCTTTTCTATGTGTATGTCTGTGTCCAAATCTCCTATTATCGTAAGGACCCCAATCATGTTGGATTAGGACTCACCCTAAACACCTCACTTTAACTTAATAACCTCTTTATAGACCTTATCTCTAAAAAAGTTATATTCTGAGATACTGGGAGTTAGTACCTTAACATAAGAATTTTTTTTTGGAGAACACAGTTCAACCCATAACACTATACCTACTATTTACTTATGGAAGTAATTGCAAACCACAGATGTATACCTACAAAACCCAAACTAAATGTATCGCTAACTCAACTTCCTTAGCCAGTTCTTAAATGCCCAAGGCCCTTCTGCTTATACCTGATGGAACGCAAAGTGTGATGGAAGGAAAGTCAGAAAGGAAAGAGACATCAACCTTAACCAATTGTGATGCCAGGAGGCACCCAGGGAGGCCAAGAGCAGCCTCAACCTGATACCAGGGTCTAGGTTCTTGTCGCAGAACCAGAAAACGTTCAAGAATGTGACAGATTTAGCAAAGCATAGTAAATTTATTAAAGCGATAGCAAGTACTGAAGAAGTGGGTGATGTTGGAGAACGAGATGCCCCAATGGGGTCTTGGTGGAAGGTTTTCATTAAATGTGGGCAAGGGTAGTCCTTGGCTTCTTGTCCCTCCTTTCCAGAGAGCATTTATTTTTCCTCTCAATTACAGGAAACTGGGGAGGAGAAGTGGGGGAACAGGTGGTCAGTGAAGGTCACGCCTGCCATGTTTCAGCCAAGACAGAAAAGGGGAAGGAGAGAGAGGTAGAGCTTAGAAGCTTTCGCTCCCTGTGCTAACTTTCCTGCCTTGATTGCAGTTTAAGTATTTTTCTCAAAATTTACAAAAACCTATGATCATGTTAACACATTGCCGGGGCTCCTCCAATGCTATTGGAAAATGGTCTGTCTTCCTTTTCTAGAGGGTAAATATGCCTCTGATTAGTCCTCCTAATGCCTGAGCCATGCAAAGGGATAAAGGATTTTTACCAACAATGGGGGTGATTAACATTTGTACATTGAGGAAGGCAGAATGAATTCCCACTCTTCAGCATTAGTCCCTGGAAGAGCTGGGAGTGTTATTGTCCTGCTAAAAGGAGGAGCCTCTCTTTTCTAATGTTGTCAGCCTCTTTCTCTCCTCCATTCTCCAATCCACTCCACTGCATCTTCTGAAGCTTTAGGATGGAACCCACATAAAAGAGGGAGGCATCAGCCTGTTACTCCAGGACTAGATCTGTCATTGACTCAGCAGAGAATGACTGAACCCTCCAGGGTCAGATACTAAATTCCCACAGACAGTTCTTGCTTGGCTTTCAAGTCAAACAAGCACTAGTTCTTCCCAGTCAATTCTATCTAATTAAATTGTTTGGATTATGAGAGAATGACCTCTCCACTGAAAACTGAGGGCTCCAATGCCTGTTTTGGTGTTTTAATAGACATGATTGAGGTCTGTATATACCACCAGCCCTGGCTTAAACCCTGAGGGATCAAAAGCTTCTAACTCTAAAGCTGAATATATACGGGTGGGGCCAAAGTAGGTTTACAGCTGTTGTATGGAAAATAATACAATAATAAATACAAGGTTAAACTGTTTTTGTGTACTCAACAGTAAAACTACTTGTGCCCCACCCTATATGTCTTTCTGTTGCCTACTTCTATGTTTTTGCTGAATATTAGTTTGAAGGATGTGGGGCTGGCTCTTTGGAGTTGAGGTTGTTACTATATGTAAAGAGGGACAGCAGGGGCAAACACAGGGCCAGTGAAAAAAAATAAGGCTATTACGTGACCTGAGCAAGCAAAAGAGACTTTTTGAAAGACCAGCATAAAAACAGAAGAGTAACTTCAGAAAGAACTGTTCCCAAGATTTAGAAGGCTGCGAATCCTAACTATACAAACTTGGCGCAGAACTCCAGAGTGTGTGGAATACTGCATTGTGGAAAGTCCATTTCATTGTCATCCGCTTTTTGACAGCGAAAACCAAGGCTCTTAACTATGAGGTAGAGCTCCAGGTTTTCTATGCTATGCGCAGGGAGGTAACTTGGGATTTGGTAGGTCCAATGAGGTGACCCCTCCAGCGCTTCTTTGGGAACACCTGTCGGGTGCCAGATGGACCCCGGAAGCAGAAAATGCCACGCTACTAGTATCCTCCTCCTCTTTCCGGGTGGCAAGACATTTATTTGATCCATCTCAAGAACAAGTTCCCGGTTGCTCTAGGCTCTTCGTCCGCGGGGACGCTGCTGGCCACGGTTGCCCCCTTTGCTGGGAAGGCTGTTAAGGGGATGCTGAAAAGGCCTTCCCTCAAGAGGAAACAAATGGCAAGTAGCTGTAGGCCGTCTGGACAGTTCGGCAAAGTGCTGTGAATTCCCTGGGGTACTTCCGGAGGAACGTGGCCTCATGTACTCCGAAGGTCCGGCGCCGCTAGGTCGAGGGTGGGGGAAGGTACCCTGGACGCGGAGGACATCTTCCCTGCCCCACGCACCCAATAGCCGCCCCGGCTGAGGCCCACGCAGCCAATAGCCGACTTCAGCCGGGACCCACGCAGCCAATGGCCAGCACGGTGTGTTCCTCCGGCGCCCGCCTGCCTGCGTCCACGAATCGGGACTCGGGCCACCTTGGTACCGCCCCTGAGTCCCGCCCCACCCATCCGCCCCGCCTCCAAATCGCAGGAGCAGGGCTGGGCTAGACGGGCGCGCTCTCGGGGCGGGAGGGGCAGTCCTGGTCCCGACCCTCCGCGCGGGTGGGCTCGGAGCAGGCCGCACCGGGCGGGAACCCCATTTCCACCCCGGAGGCCCCCTGCCCTTTCTCCCTCTTTACCCCCGGCCCATGGTGCGAGTCTGGGAGCGGCCGCCCGGGCCGGACCGCGGTGAGTGATTCCCCAGCCCCTTCGACTTCCCCTCCCAGCCCCCGGTACGATCTTCGACCTACGGAGCCCTATCTCTGCTCGGTGGGGGTGGGGAGGGGGGGGGAGAATGCGAGTTTCTAACTCGCCCGGTTCTCTCTTCTTTTTCTTACGGACTTTAGGTTCCCTGTTGTAACTGGGGGAGGGTGAGTGGGTGTGTAGGGAGGAGGGGAAGCCTGGGTTGGGACGCCCTTGGCGAGGGGAGGATTGAGATTCGCCTGCTCCCTGGGGCTCATCGCCCCAAGTGCAGCAACTTTTTGTTCTCTGACCCAGTTTGGAGCCTTTTAGACTGCCTGTGAAATGGAGGATAGGAGAAATGTTTCCTTCCCAGGCCTCCCTCCTCCCCATGACTACCTCCTGGCGACCTCAACACAAGTACAGAAACCTGGCCTTAACTTCTGTGTAGCAGTGGTCTTTGGAAATGGAAGGTTTAGGAGAAACTGCCCCTTCTGACCCCCCTAACCCAGTCCTACCCGGAAAACCAACAAGGAAAGTGAGAACCCGAATTCTCAGAGGTTCCTGGTGTTGCGTCCTAATCTGAGACTTACAAACCGAAAGAAGACTCAAGCTGAGACCTGTTTGGTAAGGTGGGCCCAGATCAGGAGATCTTCTATCATATGAACTTCTTTCACCATACATTTGAAGCCCTTTTATATGATTAGGATAGGTAGATGGCAGTGATTGGAGGAAAAAAAAATTAAAAAGCCAGTTAAAGTTGGGAGTTTTAAAAATGATGCGTACATATCTAAACATTGCCATTAAAAGTATGTTCATTTCACCAATTCGTTGGGGTAGTCCCCGCGTTTTCTTTATGTAAGTCTGCTGATTGGAGTTCTCAGTTGTCTTTCTAGAATAAACTACAAAAGCAAATCTCAAATCTGGCTGCATCCAGAGGACTTTTTAAAAACTACTGATCCTGCGGCCCCAGTCCAGACTAATTAAAGTCAAAATGAGGAGGGTGCCCCACTTTATGTTTCCCAGGTAATTTTAGTGTGGAGTCTGATATGGGAACCACTGCCTCTCATCATCCATGATTTTCTGAATGCAGAATGCTTTTTGAGATTTTTTAAAGTCCCCTGACCCTCCAAGTCTTTTTCAGTTGTCTTGCCAACTCTTAACAGTTTTTAAAATGTATACTTCTTTGTATTATGTCTTCCCAAGCATCTAATTTTGTTTTCACAGGAACCATTTTTAATGCACTAATTTTTCATAGGTTTACATGATGTTTAATTATATTACTATGTAAATACAGAACAACAAAGGGCATAAGCAAGTTTGGAATCACACATAACTGGCCCAAGTACACAGGACATCATAAGGAAGAAGATTTTGGCACACAAAGCAGTAGCCTAGTACCCAGTGCACTGTGGGTATAGGTCATATAATCCAGTGGGTCAGTGAAGCTAGGCTCCTGACCCAGTTGAACTGAACACCCCTCCCTTTCACTCTCTCCAACTATTGATAATATCACCAGTACCCACTTATTTAAGTTCTCTTGAGTCTTCCGTCCACTCTTTCCATTCATTCACATCAGGTTGTTTGTTCATGTCAAGCAGTTACCACCATTGCCTTTATTAAGTTGGAAGAACATTAGACAGAGGTTCTTAAGCTGGACTTCTGAGCAGCCAGTGCACCCCCTGAGATTACATATATAATGTGTAAGTGTGAATGTTTATTTTTGGGTGGAGGAGTAGTCATAACTTTCTCAGGGTCCATAACTTATATCTCATTCGCAAAGAGGTTCATGATCTAAAAAGTTGAGAAGCACATAAATATCACTAAAAGCCCTTTAAGGCCCTTAAAATTATATCACCAAAACACATTGCAATCAATACTTCAATTCTTTTATGAATAAAGATTTAGGGAATTTAGCGGAATCATACCTAGTCTTTCACTTGAACCATCTTCTGCTTTAACCATGAGCCTAGCCTCAAGCCTAAAGTTTTGAACGCCTCTTTTTTCCCTAAGGCTGTGTGAACACCTAGGCTGGAAATTTAAGGTAGTGCATTCTTTTCTGCTATCATTTGCCCAGGGGCCTGGAAAGTCTAAAGGGAAGAAGGGCTCTATCCTGACTCTGTGTTTTATTGGTGACTTTAGGTAGTAGTAGGACATATCTGGCATATTTAATACGGATACAAATTGAGTATTAAGAATTGATAATTCCACCACCCTGCCACCTCTGCCATTAGGAGTCATTTTTGCAGCTTTGATTCCCTTTTTTTCCCCTACCCTTTTGAAATGGAGGCATAAGTCACTGTAGTGTCCTTTTGTGGTTTTGATATAGTGGTATAGTAGGGTCTATGCTACTATCCTACTTGTTAGTAATTCTTTGTGAATCCACCCTCTGGTTGTAGGTTTTTCCTATTTCAAAGCCAGCTATACAACTATGGCTTAATTTAAGCCACGTTCTGTATTAGGAAGTCCTCCATAACTTGTGTTTTGAATAACTGGAAAACAGTTGATGTATACAGTACACCAAATATGGTATTTGCATTACTGAACGTTACATCGACATATCAAGAAGATGACATGAGAATCTGAAGGAATGAAAACAAAATGCTTCCTCCTAGGCTTCTAGCTGTACCTGCCTTTTTCCTGTCTGGCAGTCTCTCCTCATGTAGTACTGCTTTATTCCTTACACTACATTTTTCTCATATCTGAAGTGTTGTTATATCCTTGAACAGGACACAAATAAGGTTAAGTAGATGTCGAATGTTGCAATCATAAGTATTTTCCAGCTTAGGTTTGGTGGTGTTTCTGGGGTTTTAGACCTGGCTGTGCAAGTATTTCATCACAGGTCACTCAGCTGTGTCTCGGATGAACCTGGAGGGTGAAAGTAGAGCTACCATCCTGGCAATTCACTTGATAATCAAAAAGGATTTATATCCAAATTACGGATTTGGTTCTCCAAAAGCAGTGATTTTTCATACTTTTTTAAAAACAAAATCCTTTCTGGAATTATATCCAACTTTCAAAATATAAGAAGAATAAAATCACAGACAACCTGGTTTCCTCTTGTGCTTGTTAGAATTAGTAATCTGCCAAAACAGATTGAAAACTGAATTTAAAGGATTCAGTCTTTGTCTCACTTCCTCTATTGTCTAGGAGGAGCATTACCTTATATCAGAATCATCCTGTGGGGCTGTAATAATAAAAACTGCTATTTATTGAGCCTTTGTTCCAGGCATAATGTCAAGTGCATTTTTTCTTAATTATAAACTTGTGAAGTAGGTACTGTTATGATCACCCTTTTTTGTATTGGAAACTAAAACTTAAAGGGGTTAAATAACTTTCCCAAGGACCAGCAGCACTGTAAGAAGTGGTAGAGCTTCGATTAATCTCCAATTAGCTTCACCGCAGACTTCTACCTCTAATAGCCGCTTTAGGCCCTGCCTATATATGATGCCTAGCACATAGTAGGTGCTCAGTAAAAATAAATAACTTTATTAGATACCTAGCACTGTCTCCACTTTTTATACATGAGGAAACAGGCTCACATAAGTTCAGTAACTTTGGCACAAGATCATATAGCTTGTGGCAGAATTGGGGTTTAGGCTGCAGATTGTCCTTCCTCAAGAGTCATATTTCTACTCACAGTACCATACTGCCTCCATTTACCTTCTTCAGGTTCTCTTCACTATATATTGTCTTTGGGATCTGCATGGCCTTCGGTTAAGATTTGCTTGTTAAAAGGTAATGGTGACACATTAAAATGCTTCCAAAGTTTTCTAATCATATAAATTTTCTCAGTATGCTGCTCTATTTGTAACTTTGTGGAATTGAGATTTTTCTCAGTTCATCTTATAGCATTTACATAGGAATCCTGTCTCATTTTTAACATATTAGAAGTAATACCTGTAAATTCAAATGAGATTCTTTTAAGAGTAAAGGGTGACAGATATGTTAAAGTCTCTAATGCCCACACAGGGAGCTGAATTTAAAATTCAGTCAACAGGACTATCCTGGGAAATAACGTGAGCAGGTATTTCAGGAATGAAGCATGGTCAGGGGCTATTCCTGCAGTCCCCACATCCAGAACCAGTGGTGCTGCTGGGTGGTTTGCAGGACCTGGTTACAATTTATGAACCTACCCACCTGAGCCTGAGAGGAAAGCTGGCCTGAACAGATGAGAGCTGCAGGCCTTCCGCCTGTGGGGAGGGGGCTGTTAAATTCTGAGGGAGCTCTCTAGGCTCCCTGGAGAGAGACTGAACAGTTGGAAGAGACAAAGGCTGGGGGGAGGGGATAACCTTTGTTCTGAGGATGATTTGGGGAAAGGAAACATTCCTCTCTACCCTCACAGGGGTGGGGGTGGGGTAAGCCCCATTTATCCCAGATATCTGACCTATCTCTCATCCTACTGAGAGCGAAAAACTAAAGCTCCCAGGTTTGGTTTTAGGGCTTAAAGGTACTGTCTCTTCTCTCCCCGATACTCCACTACTAAGAAGGGAAAGAAAAGCGCTGGGGATTGGGCAGAGAAACAGTGCTGTCTTGTCTTCTAGTTTTTCCTATGTTGTATTCTCAACCCCTCTTCACATTCTAGAGATAATAAATTTTTAGAACCTAACATGTATGTAACAAGAGGAGATCACTGCTCTTGTTTTTGTGGTTGAGTCTTCATTTTGTGACTTGTGTTCCATGAACTTGGTGAAATAAGTTTGACTTGGAAAGGTAAAGGCCACATGAGGATGCTTTCCTCTTTTTTTTTTTTTTTTTTAAGGTTTTGTTTTGTTTTTAGAGAGGGGGAAGGGAGAGAGAACAAGAGGGAGAGAAACATTAATGTGACAGTGAGATGTACACCATCACAACCCAGGCATGTGCCCTGGCTAGGAATTGAACCAGGGACCTTTGAGTTTGCAGGCCAGCCCTCAGTCACAGAGCCACACTAGCCAGGGACCTTCTTAACTTCTAAAGACAGATTTTTGTCTAAGGTGAAAGTGCTCACTAGTCATGTGACCTGAGGTAATTAGGACTTTCGTTTTTTCATTCACACAACAGGAATTTTAGCAGGCTCTGATGACTGATAGGGTTATGGAAGTAAATAAGAAACTGTTAGAACACTTTAGAAGCAAAACAGCATAGTGCACATAGAAAGTTGATTGTCTTTGAATCCAATATTTCGGTAGAAATTGACTGATGAGCCAAAAGATGAACCCCAGTGACGGAGCTGTTTTCTCCTCTTCTTACAGCTATCTCTGAAGGGCACAAATCAGAAAGCACCATGCCTCCTAATAAAGAGGCCAGCAGTCTTAATACCTCGCATGCGGGGCTCATCTGCCTCCCTCCAATCTCTGAGGACCTCCAGCTTGTGTGGACTCAAGCAGCCCAGACCAGTGAGCTGGATGGCAATGAACACCTGCTACAAACCTTCAGCTACTTCCCCTATCCTAGTCTAGCAGACATTGCCCTTCTCTGCCTACGCTATGGGCTGCAGATGGAGAAAGTCAAGACTTGGTTCATGGCCCAGCGCCTCCGCTGTGGCATCAGCTGGTCATCTGAAGAAATAGAAGAGACTCGAGCCCGAGTGGTTTATCACAGGGACCAACTCCATTTCAAATCCCTTCTCTCTTTTACTCATCATGCAGGGCGGCCCCCAGAGGAGGTGCCGTCTTCTCCAGTGCCACCTCCAGAACAAGTTAGTCTTGGAATAGTGCCCCTGACTCTTAGTGAGCCCGCCCAGATGAAAGGATTAAAGGTAGAGCCTGAGGACCCCTCAGAGCCACTGAGTCACCAGAAAGCAAAGGAACCCCTGGTTGCACCTGGCAGTGGGGCACTCTCCCACCAATCAGAATTTTGGCAGGATCTTCAGAGCAGTGGCCTCTCTAAGGGGCAGGCAGGCAGGGGTCCTGACCAGTCCCATGGCCTTGGTACTGCTTCCTGGAACCACTCCACAGCTGCCCACCAGCCACATGTTCCAGATAAGCCCACACCAACCTCATTACCTGCCAGTAGTTGTAAGCAGGGGTCGGCATCTAATGTGACTCCTCCTTCCTCTACCTCTTCTTCCTCTTTCCAGGTACTGGCTAATGGAACTACAGCCACCTCTATACCCCTCCAGTCACTGGGCTGTCTCCCACAGCCACTGTCACCCAATGAACAGGCTCTACCTGCACATGTGGAGCCAGCCTGGCCCCAGCGGCTAAGACCTAACTCAGTAATAGATAGGGTTGGCCCTGCAGAGTACCTTTCCCCAGATACCCAACGCCAGCGAAAGACCAAGCGCAAAACCAAAGAGCAGTTGGCTATCCTCAAATCGTTTTTTTTACAGTGCCAATGGGCACGCCGTGAGGATTACCATAAATTAGAACAGATCACTGGTTTACCTCGGCCTGAGATTATTCAGTGGTTTGGTGACACACGCTATGCCTTGAAGCATGGGCAACTAAAATGGTTTCGGGACAACGCAGTATCTGGTGCCCTTAGTTTCCAGGATCCAGCAGTTCCCACACCATCGCCTTCAACCCGCTCCTTGAATGAATGGGCTGAGACACCACCTCTGCCAATGCCCCCACCTCCGCCGGATATACGGCCCTTGGAGAGGTACTGGGCAGCGCACCAACAGCTACGGGAACGTGATGTCCCTCAGCTGAGTCAGGAGTCAAGGCTTAGCACCCAGCAAGTACTGGATTGGTTTGATTCTCGGTTACCTGAGCCAGCTGAGGTGGTGGTTTGTCTGGATGAAGAAGAGGAAGAGGAGGAAGAGGAAGTGCCAGAAGATGAGGATGAAGAGGAGGAGGAGGAGGAAGAGGACGACAGTGATGATGATGTGATCATACAGGACTGAAAGGAGGGCTATGGGAAGGGCAGTCTTGTTACTGAAAGACAACCAACTTAGTAACTGTTTAAACAAACCACATTTTTAAAATTACCTTGTGGCAAAGAACTGAAAAGCTTTGTGTTCTTGAGGTTTGGGGAAAGGTGGATGTTATGAGGGTGAACCAGGGAGGATGAGCATAAGGCACAAATGTAGGGATTGAATGGGCAAAAGTCCAGACCTCTAGCCTCAATGAAGAGTGTGCTAAGGATCTGGTCCAGACTATGGGCTGGGCAAAGGCTCTTGCTCTCATCTGCTGTTCTTTTCCCTTAGTATACTACGGAGAGGCCCGGCCTTAGTTTCATGTCTATAGGAGGATTGGAAAGAAGGAGTAAAGAATTTTGATTGAATTGATTCCAATGCCTCTCCTAGTCCCACCATTTTTCCTGGAGTACAAGGCTGCCTTGCACCTCTCCTTTTCTCTCTGAGCACAAGTCCAAGCATAATGCAGCTAAAATATCAGTATGTCCCAGTCACACAAATATTTCAACTCTGTATGTTTTACCTGCTTCATTGTTGAGTCACACAGGAAGCAGAATGTTTCCATTTCTGAAACTGGGACCACTTTGCCTTGTACCTTTTTATCTCTTTCCAAAATCCCCCATTCTCTTCACTATGTCTCAGGGTAAATCTTCCCCATGGAGCTTGTGGAAAAAAAAAACTGGGTGGAGAATAATTTAGACTGGATATTTATTGAAGGTGGGAATTAGGGGAGATGTCCTTTAAAAAAAAGTAGAATTAGGTTACAGAGGTATAGAGGGAATGGTTTCTACCATTCAGAAGACTGCAGGTAGGTTCTAGGTTTGGTTTTACAAGCCTGACACTCCGTCCTGCCTGACTTGACAGAATGATTTTTCGTCTTTTTGGTGTTGGTTCAATTTGTATACAGAGGAAAGACTTGCCCGTCTCTATAGGAGCTGCCTTGGGGACAGAAGGAACATGGTCTTTAACTGAATTGGTTTTAATCAGTTGGGGTCAGATACAATGGTATCAGTGGGTTAACCATATAGAAGTAAGAGTGGAAGCCCCAAATTGCTAGAATAATAAAAAGGCCAAAAGTGAAGTTGTTTCTCTCTCCTCTGCTTTGCCACCTACATGGTTTAGGGATTAATGGAGCCCTATCGATTAACATTCTGATTAGTATACATTTTATTTATTTTTGAAGCAGCAGGATGTATTGAGGTAAAGCAAACAATAACTTTGAGAGGCAGTAAGTCAGTATCACTAGGGAGATTGTTTCCTGTACCTGCACAGCACAGGCTCTTGTTCAGAAGATGAGGTGTGTCTAGAAATGCCTTTAAACAAATTCAGAGTTCCAAAAATGGTAATGTGATCTTAGTTCAGCTGCAAGGTCACTGCTAAGACCTAATATATTGCTGGCAGATGCTATCTACATTTTTTCATTATTTTTGCTTAAGACCTGCCTAATTGTGGCCTACCCATTTAATTCCTTATTTCTACCCCTTAGTACTCAAGGATAAATTTTTGCTCTCAGTGGTAGTGTTCTTTGCCCATTCCACCATTCTAGAGCTTGTAATGCCAAAAGAATTGCAGTAGCAATAAAAGGACATCCTTTTTATTGTCTATGCACTTTAGTAAGCTGAATCTGTCTCCAACTATTATCAGACAGGAAAATCATATTTAATAACTAGGCATAGAGGAAACAGGCAAAAGTATGAGAGGGAATAGACTTGATACTTGTTAACATTGGCTATGTGACAATATATGCAAAACTAAAAAATGAAATCCAGAAATAAAACAGTTAATGAGTATATTACTGCCACCCCCAAGGATGCCAAGACATGTTTTTACAACTTTTGTTTCAAGTTGGAGAAATGAGACAGCTACATGTCCTGTGGGAGAAATGTAAACATCTTACTGAAGCACTAGCCTAACGGGTAATACAGGGTGTATAAGGTAAAGATTGAGAGAAAGTACAAAGGGAAACAAGGTAGGGGTACATTTTTTTTTAAAGATTTTATTATTTTTAGACAGGGGAAGGGAAGGAGAAAGGGAGAAAACATCAATGTGTGGTTGACTCTCTCACGCCCCTTACTGGGGACCTGGCCTGCAACCCAGGCATGTGCCCTGCCTGGGCATCGAACCAGCAACCCTTTGGTTTGCAGGCTGGTGCTCAATCCACTGAGCCACACCAGCCAGGGCAGGGGGTACATTTTCAAAGGCCATCACGCCTAATGGGTATTGGCTGCTGCATTTCTGTCCTTCAGTACGTATAGATCAGACCCTGAAGATGGTCTATCTTGGAGTGGTCCATGCTTCTCTCCCTGTGGCTAATCCCATCTGCCTTTGTTGGTAGAGAGTCTACAGCAGAAAAGAGAAGGCATATATGGGTGTTCATAACCAAAAGGGCAAGGCCCTCAAGCCATTTTATGAAATTTATCAGGACAGCGAACAACCACTATTGCTTTTGCATAGTTTTCTCCACTGCATAACAACTAACTTTTCCAAACTAAGATTTGAGATATCTTGTGCAGGGGTCTGGCCTGTTAGGAACCAGGCTGCACAGCAGGAGGTGAGCTTGAATGTAACATGCTTGAATCATCTGGAAACAATCACTCCCCCCCCACCCCCACCCCTGGTTTGTGGGAAAATTGTCTTCCACAAAACCTGTGCCAAAAAAGTTGGGCACCACTGATTGAGTGTATCAAAGGCTTTGTTGCTACTTACAAAACTGAGACATCAGTGGTTTCTGGAGATAAGACTACTTGAAAATCAAACTGTTTTGTAAGGCCTGGGGCATGCCACACCCACAGATGATTATCAGGGAGGCAGAATTCTTACACTTCTGGGGAGGTGGCAGTTTCTTCAATAACTTTTTTTTTTTAACTTTGTTATGGAACTTTATAAAAATACCATGGAAGTAGAGTAGTATAATGAACTCACATGTACCCATCACCCAATTTCAACAAATAACTCATGGCCAGTTTTTCATTTCTACTCTCACTGCCCCTCTCCACTAGATTATACTAAAGCAAAACCCAGATAATCATTTAACTTCCTATCCATTAATATTTTAGTATGTATCTACAAAAGGCTTTAAGAAAAATAACCACAATAGCATTATACCTACCCCCCCCCCAAAAAAAAGACCTATTAATTCTTTATATCAAATGTCCAACGGGTACTCAATTTTCCTCAACTTTTTCATAAATGGTTTTATACAGTTAGGGCCCATATCTATGCAGGTGGTTTCTATGTTTCTTAAGTCTTTTCTCATCTGTAGGTTAATCCCTCCCTTTGTGAGGATCTTAGAGCAGGATTTCATTTTTCCAGTGTTGCCTCTTAGGGCGGAGGCCCTGACTTCTTGCTGATGGAAATAAAGGGAACTTCAGAATATGAGAGCAAAATATTTGTCTACCTTAGAATGTTCCTGGGGTCACTAGGAGCGTGGTGTGGAAAAGGGGCTTAGATAGCCTCACCCGAAGCCATGAAAGTTAACTTAAAAGGCAAGACTGGACTTTGCATTGAATAGAGCTGCTTAGAAACCTCTTCTCATTCCCATGACCTTTCCCCTGGCTGCCTGGATTCAGAATCATAGTCCCATAAATTTACAAAACATTATTCTAGTTACCTCAGGAGAAATAAACATGTGTTTTCTTAGTTCCAGCAGTACCTCTATGCAAAAGATATATTCCATTGAGAACACCCGTGTGTGTGTGAAACTTGGGAATGTCAGTTGTGTCCACACACTTAGTTCACTCTGGCCAAGTCCTTTCAGTTTAAAACATTTCACTACTACATGACCTAATTTTTAAACCCCAAACCAGGAGGCTAATCTGAGAGTGGGATAGAATCTTTGAAACCATTATGGAAAACTGTGTACATATGTTTACCACATTCGAAACCCATGTCGTTCTCCACTGGTTACATTCTACCACCTTAACGGGAGACCAGAATGAGGCATTTAGTGTGCAGCCCTAACCATGTGAATTTTTCATACGCTGACAAGTTAGACTAGCCAGGGCTCACCTGAGGGACCGGTAGCTGGAAACCAGGGAGACTCTCTAGTGGGGTTCTACTCTCCCCCTGACCTGAAGGATAGAATAGAATGGTAAAAGATAACTTCCTGGGGCAGTTCCTTGGTAGTGTTACTTGTGGATCAGGGTAATCTGCAGAACACTTTTCAGAAAGGAAAAGACTGTTAGCTAAGCAATTTAAAAGGTGGTTTATAAAGTTCATTCTTTTCTGTGAGGATGGGGTGGAAACAAAGGTTTGACTTTATAAATAGAAAGAGGTAGAAACAATACAAAGATTTTGGTGAGCTACAGAAGACGACAGCCCCTTATTAAGAGGACTAGTAGCAAAGGTGCCTTTTTGAAAATGAGATACTGGTTTTATCATTCTTACTCAGAACTGAGCTCCTAGCAATATTCACACAGGGATGTAAAAAACAAACAAACAAACAAACAAAAACCAGTTTAATTCTACAGGTTGACCGTCTGGCTTAAGAGCAGAACTCAACCGGTGACAGGATGAGTGCTATTTAAGCAAAATCCAAAGCCTCCCCTTAATGTGAGAGAAGTGGGGTAGGGATAACTGAAAGAACATTAAGGAGTCAAATGCTCTTTGGGGGGGAACCCCAACTTCTTTTTCCCTTGAAAATCTTCGTTTTATTGTATATGTGTCAATGGTTGAAGCTACAATCCTTTGGGAATGTTGTTTACCTGAACTGTTGGGGGTGAGTACTTGTGTGTGGCCCGAATCCCTACTATTCGGGGGTGGCCTGAAAGAAAAAGTCCCCAGTCCAGAGGAGGCAGATGAAGTTCTATGGGAGGGAAATAAAAACATTAGCAAAGAAAAGGAAAGGTAAAGGTAAAAAGCATATGTAAAAGGAACAACCTGTACATTTAGGCCAGAAACCCTCGTTACAATTGAGAATAAAATCAAGTAATTCAGATGTACATTAGACACAGTACCATTCAACCTTCTCTTTGATTACAAGGTAGATTATAAACTTCAGTGGCCCAGGCCAGTGAAGAAGTAACTCCAGGGCTTCTGGAAGAGTGTCAGTGTGAAAAGATCCTACGTGAAAGAAAGCACAGTGATACTCACCTATAGGATAGGCTGTGAGTAGAAGCTGGTGAAGGAGTTTCTAGAAGGCAGAAAGCATAAAAATGAGCCTGTGAGATAATCCATGAACTGGAGAAGAGATTCAGGTATACTCAGGGCTGGGGCAAAGGAATTGGGATCAAAGATTTTCAGCATGTATGTGAAAGAATCAACTTTTGGTTTTGTTGACTTTCTCTACTGTTTTTCTATTCTTTAGTTCATTAATTTCTGCTCTAATCTTTGGTTCTTTGAAATGATCGATAAAATAGATTAATATTTAGCCAGGCTGTCCAAGGGCGGAGTGGGGGGTGGCCAGAGGAAGACTCAAATAACTGAAATCAGAAATGAAAGAGGGAGTGTTACTACTAAACTACCAGAAATAAATAGGCTAGAATCTTAGAATCTCTACAGCTTTCAAAGAGGTAAGTATGAAGGAATTGGGGGGAGACTATTTGTTGAAGTTCAAAAATGGTTATCCAGAAAGATATTTGCAAATTTCAAAACTGCCTCTTTGGAAAGAAAGGGAAATCTCTGGTAAGTATTCTCTATGGACTGGCTAAATGCCCTTGAAAATAGTAACAACAATAATAGTTCTAAGGGGGGAGAAACAAGAAATTAAGTAGGTGGAACCAAAATATTTCTTCACTGGAATATTTTTATGTTTCATACACAGTGAAGAAGCCAGATACCCTTCAGGCTAACATAATCAGCATTTAGTTAACCTTCCTTTTAAACCTGACTTCTACTGCCATCTTGTGGCAATTTAAAAAGTCCAAGTCAATTATTTTACTCGTTATCATCTGACTGAAAAAGGTTTTCAATGACTTTCTAGCACTCAATTTTTTATTTCATTCTTATCAGTTTGAGAACAGAAATATAATTATTTGAAAATTAATAATGTATGTCTGGATATCTGGAATTACTGGAACTAACGAAGTAAACTGGCATTATATTATGCACAAAAAACCAGAAACATGCTGGTGCATGCACAGAATATTGTTTTCTGACAGTTTATTTTTCTTCCCTCTTACCAGTATAAGAATCTCTTGGAATGCTCCTTCCCTGAAGGCCTCTGGCTTCCTGATGAACAAATAATAAACATCAATTAATAAATATATGTTGATTTTCTGGCTTCTGTATTCCTTGCTATTTCTCTATATCTACACATTGAAGCACATTTTGTTCTCCCAGAGTGGCTATGCTAGTCTACACTTTTCTATTTCTTTAAAAAAAATTTTAAATATTTTATTTATTTATTTTTAGAGAGAGGGGAAGAGAGAGAGAGAGGGAGAGAAACATCAATGTGCAAGAGATATATTGATCAGTTGCCTCTTGCAGGACCTCGGCTGGGGACCTGGCCCCGCAACCCAGGCATTTGCCCTGACCAGGAGTTGAACCAGTGACCCTGTGGTTCACAGGCTGGCATTCTAGTCACTGAGCCACACCAGCCAGGGTCACTTTGCTACTTCCGAAATGAATATGACATATTCTGTTAATTTAGTCCTTGAAGATTTCCACTATTTCGCCCCTATTCATTCTCTGTCAGCTCCTAACAGCCGGTATGTATTGCTAAAAAGAAAAGATAGTACTGGTTGGCATCAGATAATTTATGACAAAATCAACATAAGTTTAATATTCTTGCCTTAAATCTTTGCTTTCATTTAGCATTAGAAATCTCAACCTGGAAAGAAAAGGTAACTATTACTTACTTGTCCCATGCTACTAAAGCCAGCCACTGTATAAGGGATAGACTCCACTGAGGAGGACCGACTGTATAAGGTGAGACAAAAAGAAAACAAACCAACAAGCCTGGTATTAAACTTTTACATACACCTAAAGTCTCCTTAGTCCCTATCTCAGCCATATCTAGGTATTTATTTCATCTTCTAACTTTTGCCAACAGTTTTAATGTTGCTCTGGAGGCTTCCTGCTCACCTGACCACTTGGCTGCTATGCTGAGAACTGGGTCGTGGAGTAACTGAAAAAGAGTGAAGTACAGAATGAAAAGTCGCCATCAATAGTGTGTTCTTGCCCAGCTAATCTCTTGCAAGTGGGTATCTGGTTGTATGATCTTCCCATATTGTACTTAAGATCAGGAAAATCATATGGTAGTCTCTGAGAAGAAACCATCTTCATATGTGAAAAGGATATTTATTCATCTCACACAGATATTTGGGCAAAAAAAATGTTCTCTACCTGACTGTGATGGGGAAGTAATGCCCACTGGCCGAGGTGTGGTTGACCTGCAAGGAAAAACAAAAAACAAAAAACAAAAGAGGCAGCTCTACTTTCTCTAAGTAGACATTAAGTTTCACATTAGAGGATAAATCAGATCATTGTTTTTAGAAATAATAGCTTCCTCTCTGAGAATAAATTGCTTATTATTTTGTATTAACGGGTATCCAAAAAAATGGAGGCGAAGTTTCCATATGAGACTCCTTGCCTGTCCAACTCCCTATATGAAAACTTCTCCCCTTCTTTATTGCCCGTAGTAGAAGTTTTGAAGTCTTCCTTCTTTCATTCCTCAGAGCCTTAACAAGTACTTCCAGCTTTACATATACCCATCTGTCCATTCGTTCATACATCCACCACTCCCCCTCTCTCCATCCCCTCGTCCATCTATCCAACAAGCATTTATTTAGTGCTTATACACCCTAGATACTGAGATTACAAAGATAACTAGAATATAGTTCTTGTTTCTGAGAGGCTCACAGGCTAGTGGGAAAGACATACATACATACATACATACATACATACATACATAAATGTTAAAGTGTTGTAATAGGCACCTCATAAATACAGAAGTATGAAAAGACATTAGATTGTAACTTGTGAATGCAGGGGACATGCAGATACACTTGATAGAGGACTAACGTGAAAAATATTTAACAACTGGTAGGGTACCAACATCACCAATTAGAATGTACAGTCAGCATTTATAAACAGTGGTCACTTAATGAACATTTACTGCATACATGAATAATAAAACATCTACTCTGCCGAGTGAAGTCTTAACAGAAGAAATGACATATGAGTTGAATTCTGAAGGATGAGTAGGATTTCATAAGGTGACGGTCAAGGGTAAGCATTACATTCAAGATTTTACTTCAGCACTTTTCAGTGAGTAACTCCATCTTGGAGAAGTAAAAGATAAGTTCATTAACCATTTCCTTCAACTCAGAGCCCACATAGGAATTACGACCAAGAGTTAAGTAAGAACAGGAATTTTCAAAAAGGGCTAGAATGGGGCCTGATAAAACTGACCTGCTTCCTTGGTACCAACTTGGAGATTCCTGTAATGAAAAAAATGGGAGTGAAGGAAGCTGCAGCACAAGGGTCCTAAGTGGCAATGTCTTCTGGTTGTGTTAAGACTTTCAACAGGAGAAAAAACAGCAGTGTTTCTGTAGGATATTTTTAGCTTTGCAGGAATAAAATTTTAGTTCCTCATTATAAAAACACATTGGGAATTCTGTAGACTGATATACATGGGGAAATAGGGGAAAGAAAGAAAAATGATGGGATTACAATGTGCTAGAATAGTTATAGGAGCAGGATCAAGATGAACCTCGCATAAATAAAAAGAACATTCTTAGGAAGAGAGAAATGTCTAGGAAGTACAGTGTGAGGGATAGGAAGGGTCTTGTGGTATGTTGGAAGTCTTGAAGAGAAATTGTAAGTTACAACAGATGTCTCTTCTATAAGAGAGCTTTCCAAATATTATGTTGTGACTCACTGATGTTCAAGAATGGGCTAGCAGTGTGCTAAATGTTGACCCTCTCAGTCCTGCAAGGTGTTCTGTGGCCTCATCCATTTACCATGTGTGCTTATACATATATTATCAGTTATATGTGAAAAAGGTTAGGAAATACTATTCTATTCAGTGTGCTTGATAGATGGGAAAAGTAGGAGAATAAAATCCAATAAGGAAAATCAATTTCATTCACCTTCAGGATGGCTAGAAATTTCTTTAGTTCTTCATTCTCTTTCCTTAAGACTGACAGCTCTCTAGGCAAAAGATGAAAACAATCAGCTCTAGTAGGCTTGAGGGATAGAAAAACCTGATTTTGATTATTATCTAGTTAATGCTTTTGGAGAGATACCTGCCACCCACAATACATGGCATTTTTCTCAGAGATCTAGTGATTCGGGGAGGCAATGGCAGGGTTTTTGATGATGAGAAGAATCAGATGGACAAAATAAACAGTCTCTTGGTACGATTTCAGGAGTTTACATAGAATTCCATTTCCTCTCCACATATACCCCTGGCCAGCTGATACCTGAAAATTTCCATCAAGGATTCAATCTTTTAGCTTATGGAAAAAGATTTGGAAATCTTTTAGGTTTCCAAAATATACCCTCCTGAAGGTAACATTTTAAAAGCTATCTCTTATCTTTATCACTGTGAAAAAGCTATGTCTGATTTCTCTGAAGAAGCAGTTTTTGAACAGGGGAGGCCGAAGAGGAAAGCTGTAAAATGAGGAGTGCCCCTTGAGGAAAGAAAGAGAAAAACAAAATGGAGATTGAGGGAGCCAAAAATTCTGTACCTGATTTGCCCAAGATAAACATAAACACACCTGGAGCAATTTTCAGCCTTCACAACCATGAGGAATTAAGAGCTATAGAGTCTCTAAGAGAAGAAAGCTCTCTGGTGATTGATTTGTCACTTACTTGTTCTGGTTGGACACTGTTTGCTGTGCCTCCTGCATGGCTGCTTCTAACTTTGTGATTCTATGCTTATAAAAAGCGATGAGGAGATCTGTTTGTTTCTTCTGGAAACTCCACACCTACAAAGGAAAATGAGACCTTTGACGAACACTCCCATAACTCCTTTCCCCTTACTTCTAGTAGCAAAGGGAAACTCATCAAGTCATACTTTATTACTAATCATTTTCTTCTGGAGCATCTGGCCTAATTCATGACTCCCCAGAACTAGGGGGCTCAGCACTAGAGAAAGCCAAAGCTTTTCATTTCTGGGACAATAGCTTTCTAACATCTTAACAAGAATGTTCTGACATAGTAGAAGGGCCCTTTGAAAATATAATCTTTTCATCTTGAGCAGGAAGAATGATACCCAAAAAAACTTTTTCAAGCTTAGAATTAGTTCTGATCTAACTTATCAGATTAGTTTGCACTTGTCTTACAAGTTTGGACTCAGCTTCCACATTCCAGAGCACTGGTAACCAATTTAATTTCCCTAAGATACTCACACACAGTCCCTTGCTGCTTATGCTGTTACAGTAAAGGGCAAAGAGGCACAGAAGGGGATTACCTATTCCTGAATTTTCTTTATGGGCATTAACAAATAATTTTATCTTTTGCTTCACTTAACCATTTGATATACTGATGTGCATATCATGGGATTACTGAATCAGACCAAAAGTTAATATTTAGAAAGGGTTTCAGCTTTGTCAGGGTCTGCTTTTTAATACACAGCAGTTTTTATGTCTCATCTACTTCCTCCCTACCCCAGACTATAAATCTTTTGGCTAATGTCCTTCTCTAGATCTTAGTATCTTGACATAAACCTTTGCTCTTACCTAATTTACAAGTTGCTTTTGCCACCTCACTACAGAATTGTACTTAAGAATTTATAGTCTCTAGCCTCTTTCTTTTCTACTCAAAGCAAACTAATAGTTCTAGATAGATAAGAATTAACTGTAGTCTACTTTTATTTTTTTTAAAAAGTTGATTTCAGCCCTGGCTGGTGTGGCTTAGTGGATTGAGTGCTGGCCTGTGAACCAAAGGGTCACCAGTTTGATTCCCAGTCAGAGCACAAGCCTGGGTTGTGGACCAGGTCCCCAGGAGGGGACATGTGAAAGGCAACCACACATTGATGTTTCTCTCCCTATTTTTCTCCCTTATTTCCCCCCTCTTTAAAAATAAACAATTTTTTTTTAAAAGCAGATTTCAATAAAAGTAAGACATTCATTTTAGGAAATTTGAACAGTGTAGCAGGAAAAACTCACTCAGTATTCTGGGAGTTACCTCAAAAGATGGTGGTGATGGGTGCTGGGGAACAATAAATATTATAGATAGATGTAATGTATAGCCAAGAAACAGTATCACAAGCTCCTAACCTACTCTTGGAATCCGTTTATGGTAAGATTAAGTAAGTATTAAGCTAAGGCCAAAAAAAAAGGAAAAAACCCAAATCCTGCCCTAAACAAGTTCTCCCTTTGAGACTACCAAGCATCATTCACGCTCAGAGAACAGACCCCATGGTAGAATTCCAGGGAGCCAGAATAAAGTTCTGAAGGGCCTTCTGCCTAGGCCTAAGTGTGCCTGTTTTGCCTTATCCCCCCAAAACTCAAACCCAAATCTCAGATCTGACCATTTCCAGAAAAAGAAAAACCAATTCAAAAACAACCACCAGCGAGAAGTGTTAAAAGGAGGACCAAGAGGTCTTGCCTGACGCTAGAGTACAGATATTTAGCCTATTTCAAATACACCCACCAAAGAAGATTCTAAAACCTCAGTACTGAATCTCAGTATTTAAAAATTTTCAGTTGTTAGCAAACTCATTCTGTCTTATTCAAATCCTTCAGCCTCATTAAAAGGTTGGGGTTTTTTCTTTTTTCCTGAAGGACAAATTTTGCTCACTTTTTTTTTTAAAGATTTTTTGTATTGATTTTTAGAGGGAGGGGAAAGGAGGGAGAAACAGAGGGAGAGAAACATTGATGTGAGGGAGAAACATTAATAAGTTGCCTCTCACCACCCCCCCAAAAGGGACAGAATCCATACCCCAGGGCATGTGCCCTGACTCGGAAGTAAACCCATGACTTTTTGTTTTGCAAGATGATGCTCAACCAACTGAGCCATGCCAGTCAGGGCTTGTTTTTTTTTTTAAAACTTGAGATTATTTTGTTAATATAATAATACAGAACAAATAATAATAAAAGTAGTTCTGCTGATAACAGTAAACACTGTGTGGATATCTCCAAGTGTTAAATATTGTTATTTTATTAGAATAATGTATGAAACTACCTACCTCCAGACCCAGCTTCCTCTCCTATATTTCCATACTAGTACTAGGTAAGGGCATCTGGTGGTCTTCATGCTCTGGATTCCCACTCATTTTAGAGCTGATAGCATGGAACATAATTTTTATTTTATTTACTGAAGAAAGTATTTTAAAACTTTTCCATTCTGAATTAGGTCAGGTTAATGGAAACAACTTGGAGAAAATAAGGGAGAAATCACTGAAAGATATTAAGAGAAGCACCGTAATGGAAGCAAAGGGGGAGCTCAGTAGTTTATTATAAGACATAAGAAATTTTGGTCCAATGTGTAGATGTGCGATTTACTGTCTTATTTTTAAAAGGGGATTTGTTTGTTTATAAAATAATATATATTTTGGAAATGAATACTAGCTTGACTGACTGTATCTTTTGTTTTAAAAAAATAGCCTTCCTAATTCTTAAAGTGTCAGAGGGTTTTTAGTTAAAGATTTATATTCCCCTGCATCTTAATGTTTTGAACATTTATTCGGGAGTTGCTACATTTTAGAAATTTACTTTAAAGGTATTGTCTCATCGTGACACTCAAAACCTGTTAGTTTGCCTTATATATCTTTTATGAAACTGACTCTTTTGTTCCATAATATGTAAAGGTTTATTTTTTTTTAGATTTTATTTATTTTTAGAGAGAGGGAAAGGGAGGAAGAAAGAGTGAGAGAAACATCGATGTGTGAGAAAAATATCAATTGGCTGCCTCCTGCACACCCCCAACTGCACACCCCCAACCAGGGACCTGGCCCACAAGCCAGACATGTGCCCTGACCAGGAATGGAACCAGCAACTCTTGGGTTCACAGGCTGGTGCTCAACCCACTGAGCCACACCAGCCAGGGCTGTAATGGTTTTAGTATTTTAAAATGATATTTCAAGGTAATCATATAGTTGAGAAAAGGAACTTCCTCTTTATAGACATATTCTAAATAAAAAAATGAGAACGGAATGACAAAATTAAAATATCAGCATTTTGTAACTCTTAACTCATTATGGATCTATATAAAGTTCATCAATGGCTACCATAACACAAAACAAGAGACGGAAGACAATGATATACTTCTTGGTGGAACACAATGCCACTGTAATGTATTTTTGCCTCCCACGCTCTCAATCAAATGATCCTGATAAAGCCTAAATCTATTAACTTACTAAAAACACAGAGCATAGATGAGCATACGAAATGACTCCATGAACAAAATCCACACCGTGAACAACTCTACAGGATAAAGGACAATTTTCTTCAACAATAAAAAAAGAAATGAGACAAAAGTTATAGTTAAAAAAAAGAACTTGAGAGACACAACCAATTGAACTATACAGGGCTGGACAAAAATAGGTTTACAGTTGTGAGTACATAAAACAGAGTTTATTCTTGTATTATTAACTATTCCATTTTTTACTTGTATTAAAACTATAAACCTACTTTTGCTCACCACTGTATAGATCTCATCAAAACCCAAATTCAAACAAATTTTTTTTCCTTTTTTTAAAAAATTTATTTTTTAATTTATTTTTTCAAATACATTTGTCTCTGCCTCCCCCCCACCACTTTTCCTTGCCCCCTCCCTCTTTCCCTCCCTCAGCTCTTCCCCTTTGGTTTTGTCCTCAAACAAAATTTTAAAATAATTCTGACACAACTGTAGAAATATGAATGCTGACTGATTAGTTGATACAACTAGTGAATTATTATTTTAGCATGACATGGTTATATGTAAGAAAAGAGTTCCCATCTTTTATTTAATTTGAATCTTTATGGGTGCTTTATTCAGATGGCCGGTGATCTGAGAGGATGGCAGGTTTGTACCCTAACGGACCATCTTAAATTTTAAACCAACCCTTTTTATAAGGAGAAGAAAAGTGTAGGTAAAGGGATTGGAATTCAGGGAAAAAGTTAATCAGATAAAAAGCTGCAGTATTCTTTCATCTGTGTCCTGGACAGTGGTCTTTATCTGTGACCTGGGCAGTGGACATCTCACCCTGCAGTACAATGGCTCAGATGCCACCTTGATTGCTTGCAGCCCTCCTGAGGACAAAGGTGGAACTGCTTATGGTCTCCAGGAGTCAAGGTGGGTCATACCTTCAGTTCCTGAAACAATGGCTTTTTGCATACACTGATTACTAAGCTTATCAGCTATTACCTGAAACTAAAATATTTCCAACATTTGAGCCCAACACTCCCCCACTATTAGTTTAAACTATCTTATTTCTGTGAGATCAGTTTCATATGGAAGTACTCTTTGTTGCTGAGCATGTAACTTAGCATTAGACTGTATGGTAGGGGCTTAGAAATACATTTAATTGCAGATCCACAAAAGGGGGCACATTGTATGTAACGACAAGCTATGATAAAGCACAAAACAGTTTTTAGCACCATTTACAAAAGTTGTCCATTCTCCAGCTGGGGCTACATTACTGAATTTTAAAGCAAACATTTCCCTGTCCTTTAGAATTGCTACAGGTTCCCACTTATAAATATTAGAGTAGGTTATTTTCTTATTGATATGCTGAAACAAAGTATAATTTCAAGGCTTTACAGGGGAGCATAAACACCTATAAGACACATAGTGAAAGTTTGTTCAACATAAGTTCCTCCTGCAAGACAAAATTCAGAAATGTTTAGAACATTTTTGCTAAATATAGGCAAATATTTTTTATCTCATTTGAAAGGAACAAGCTCTCTATAATATAGATTAAACAAAAAGTAATGAAAAGGACGTGGCATGGGGGGTGGGGCATGGTGCCACCAGCCGCCCCACTCGCACTGGGCCTTGAGAC